TTTTTTTTTTTTTTTTTTTTTTTTTTTTTTTGAAGAAGTGGTTTGTCCTGATTGATTGAAATGTTACATTTTCAGTTGCAACGATTCTGCCTGTATTTTGTCAGAATGGCCTGGTTTTGTGAGTTTGATATTTCTCATCACCATTGTTTCTTGGATGGTTAACTTTTATTTAACTTAAAGAAAAGTCTTCGTAATCTAGATATGAGTGATAACAGTGTAAAAAGTTTTTTGAGATTAAACCTAGACCCTTGTTGATAGATGGAAGCAATAGCACATACCTTGTGCTAATACACTGTCCCTTTTGTGTGTGCTGGCTTTGACTATTAATTTGGGTAATAGCCCTTTGTAACTTTTCCTTTAAGCTTATAATTCAGATTCTAACTAGAGAGGTAAAAAAAAAAAATCAGTGCCATATAATTCTGAGTTTTATTAAAATAATTAGATCATAAAAGTAGAATACCGTGAACGTAGCATAATGTGCTCTTAATGTTATCATGAAGAATAGAGCAAAATAATGATGATGTCCAGGTCATAATTAAGAGCAGTGTGATGGGATTATGTTATCATTTTGAATAATACTGATTCAACTTTTACATTGAATTATTAGTAGGACATTAGAAGAAAATAGTTGCTGATGGTATTTTTCCAAGGACGAAGGCGTTTTCAGCTGAAGACACTTTCCATTGTTCCAGCCAGAGAAGGACAATGTTTGGAGGGTGATATTAATATCACCATCAATATAAGTGATATTATTACCCCCACCCCTAGTGGAGCACAAGTATTAGGATACTTTGCATATCATGTGTAATTCTTGCTGTTTCAGATTATTGGTTCGATTTCTTTACTTTCTTACCCTTTGTATGATAAAACATTTGATCTTTCAATAAGCTTGAGTATTAATATTGTGCATTATAACTCTTAGATAACTCTTCTTTTTAAATTTAAGGATACTTCCTAATTTTAGATACCAGGGTTTTTTAATGCTGAGTCTAAAAACCAATTCTACTTTGTGGTATAAAATTTGCTTTAGCTGTTGTGGTGCAGCTGCTGTTTTTTTTTTATTGCAGGGCTACTTACTGAATTTTTTGTAGATAATTACTGTTGCCTAATCCCATGCCATATCAAAGAATATGCCAGGTTTATTTTTTTTTTTTATTAACCGTAGCATTTGTCTCCTTACTTTGTTCCTTAAACCTCACAGAGACAAAGTTTTCATACTCCTGACCATCTTTGTCTCTCAAGTTCTGCACTTTGCTAAAGCCCTCAGCCTTTGAGCTATCGTTAATGTTTAAATTTATCTTATGCAAAGGAGTGAAAGGGCACCCAGTTTCAATACGTAGGCTGCCTGATTAATAAGCATCCCCTGTCACCAGGAATTAATGTAAATCCTATACAAATTCTGTAGATGGGTTTCTAGCTCGGGCTGTGCCAGTGGTTATGTGAAAAGTAGGTGTTGGGCATCTGGTTGCTTGTGTTTGTGTAGGGTCTCAATTTTTTTGTTGCTCTTACCAGTTAGATCTCTAACTATGTTGCCAAAGAGTTCTTGAAAACTCTGAAAGCAAAAGTATTACTGATAATACTGATAAAATAATTAGTTAACTGTAAAAGCATGTTTACTTTTACTGTAAAAGCATTAAATTTTTTTGTTGCTCTTACCAGTTAGATCTTTAACTATGTTGCCAAAGAGTTCTTGAAAAATCTGAAAGCAAAAGTAATACTGATAAAATCATTAGTTAACTGTAAAAGCATGTTATAATTGTTACTTTTGTCTAGGCAGTGTTTTCTAATATTTTTTTTTTCTTTGTAAAACATTTTTTTTTTCTTGCCTTCCTAGTATGTGCTCTGGTCTGGTGCTTATTCTAAAGTAAACTTTGACAGCTGTTGTAGCTTAATTTAAGCATAGGAAACCTGTTGTTTATTTTTGTGGAAGTTCCTGTGTTTTTATTGGTGGAGAACCTCTGAGATTTCCATGACACGTGATCAGCTTAGAGCCTGAAGCTACTTTTGGTCTGCAGGAAACTGTACAACTTGCTGGTTTTGACTCAAGTATTTGTTTTCCAGTGGAAAGTAGAACAGGGCATGTTATAATTCTTGTAGGCATTGGGACTCTCACAGTTAGCAAGAACATGTTACAAAATTTGAAAGCCCTTTAGAAGCAAAGACCTTAAGTGAAAGGTCTGCAGTAGGTTCATGGGATACTCAGTAATAGGATTCACCTTATTTTAGTTTAGGTAGACCTTGTTTGTGGTTCAAAATATCTGAGATTTTACTTTCTGACTCAAACTTTTCTGTATGTCAGAAATGATGCATAGATTTATTTTTTTAGAAGTATGACTAAGTTGCATTATTTTTACTTTCAGCGTGCTTTTAAAATATGTTCTTTCATGTGTTTCCCAAATTGGATCCTCTCAACTTTTCTAGCAGATCTTGGGGAGAATATAATACTTCTTTGCAACTCACTGTGTCGTTAATATCTTCCTACTGAAAACAGCAAAGTCATTTTATATGGAATTATATAATAGATGGATATAATTTCATGAATACAGTTTACTATGGGGAAAACTGTAAAGAGTGACATAGGGGTTAACTCAGAAAGCTTGAATCTAGTGTCTTACATATTCACAACTGTGCTTATACCCTCTTGATAAATTTTTGAAATGCAGACTGACTGGTCAGATAAGAAAAACTCTTGGAAATTCTTAAATCTTGATCTTGTTGACCTAATAAAAGTACATTTGGGCTTTTCTGCAATAGGACTTGCCAAACATTTTAAATCTGTGTTATTGCAGGGGGAACAAAATAATGAATCCTGTTTCCTTTGGTTTCTACAATAGAAAAAGAGGAAGGAAAGGACATTTTGCAGTCATGTTCTTTTATAAACTTTGGGGGGAGGGAAATGGAAATTTATGGTGAGAAACAATCTGAAAACTAACACTGTATGATTTTCACAGGATTAATACACTATTTAAAATAATACCTCTTGTGTTTTTTCTACTTCTTAGCTGAATGCTTTGAAGGCAAAATGGTCAAAAATAATCTATACAGTCATGAACTTGCCATGGTATTAATGTGTCCCAAGTGTCAGTGATGTTACATTTTCACATGCAGGAGGCTCTTTACTTGGAAATCTCAATTGGAGGAGGATGGATCAAATCTGAAATGTTCCATCATTGAAGTTCTCCCTTGAAATACTTTCAGCTACACGATGGGATGTGTGGTCACATTGATCATTGAGTAGAACAGTATCAGTGAATATCTTTTGAGTCTGTTCTGCCACAAGAAGTTTTATACATATATATATATAATGGTCTTTTTTGAATTCTTCAATATACTAATTCTTTTCTGTCGCGCTCCGTGGCTTGGGGTGTTTTAAGGAGCAGATGCATTTAATCTCTTTGGCCCTTTGGGAGTGTGTGTGAAAGGGACTGGAAGAAATGTTGTGAAAATATTTTTGTTTCCAATGTTTTACTGTGAGATATTCAAGATCTATGCATAGAGTGAACTAAAAATTAAGCATTGGGAGTCTTTTCAGGACTAGCAACTATGTATGTGCCCATGTGGTTTTTTTGGCTTTTGGCTAGTTAACTTTTGTTACTTACTTTTACATAGTTCCTTTTCACATGGTTACTTCTGGCTCTGGCTGAATCTGAAACCTCTTGTCAATGTTCAGTGGAAAATAGAAGCTTTACATTGAAAACATAAAATGTTGTACACAGCTTCAGTTGATGTAGTCTAGAAAGTTTATTAGAAAAATATGTTTTTATTTGAAGAAACAACTTTTTCTCATTGTTTTTGTCCTTTTCCCATTGATCTCTCTTGCTATTTGGCCATGTGCTTGTTTGTTTTTTAATATCATGTTGTTTGTTTGTGTCTTGCTCTCCCTCCTCTTTGCAGTGGTGTTAGCTTTCAGATCTTAGGGCTGAAGTGGTGTTTTATTCACAGGACCTTTCTTGACAGTTTCTTACCGAAGTTTTTAGGAATAATTCTCAGTCTTATTTCTCAAAAATTTGCCATTTCTGAAGCACCTAACTTGAAATTATTTTCTTCCCCCAGCAATTGATAGTTCCTCTACTACAAGCAGTGCCTCTCCTGTTCTGAACAATTATGATGCTCTGGAAGGAGGTGGCTATCCAGGTAAGCATTTTATTGTCTGTTAATTCTAAATCATTTGTTTAAAGGCTTTTTGTTTGTGACTTTTTTCTATTTCTTGCATTGTTTAATCTTAATTAACAAGTAGGTGAAAGGAAATGCCTATGAAAGGATTGGGGGCAATCATCAGAGAGAACCTCACTTTTTAAATCACTTTTCATAGTTTTAACACTGTAGTTGGAGTAACCATTTAATAAAACTTTCCTGAATCATAAATCATGCTTTCCATTTTAATATTGAGGGTAGTGCTGAAACTATGCTCTGTGTGAAAACAGGCATCTTTCTCTACTCTGCTAATAGGTGACATGCCACTGAAGGTTTGAGAGACCAACAATATCAGCTTGCAGAGATGCTTGGATCAAGTTATTTTCTTCTGTTTCTCTCCATTTAAAGAAAATGTCTGCTATTTTGCTTATTTTTATCTCTAAAAATATCAGGAATGAATGTCAGGTTTGTTATAAATGAACCTGCTAGCAGACTACCTCAGTCTCAATACGACAATAGCCTGTCGTATTGAGAGCAGGTGGAAGAGGTGCTGTTCAATGATAACCAATACTTTAAATAATAATTAGATTAATTTGGGCACCTCCCTTTCTGGCTCTTTTGCATTGCTCTAGCCTCTGAGAATATCACAGTAGTTTGTTTGAAGTCTCTGTCAATTAAAAAGCCAATATTGCTATCCACATCCAGCTCATGCAGTAAGGGTAGCAGAGACATTGCTGCAGGATTGTGAATTCTAATTTCTCAGCTAATAACCAACCAGCCACTAACCATGATGAAGACATGTTCTAAAAATAACTTTTTTCCTTCTGTCTTAGAGTATAACAGGATCAACTTTCAAAATTCTAATTTCTCAGCTAATAACCAACCATTTTGGTTCTGATGAAGGCATGTTCTAAAAATAACTTTTTTCCTTTTGTCTTAAAGTATAACAGGATCAACTTTAGATTTCTTTGTTCTGTTTATTTATTATTGTTATGCCAAATGTAATTTCTTGGTGGTTGGTTACTTTACCTACTACTTTCCCCTGTGGATTTTACCAAGCTTAAATTCTTCTGAAACTTAGCTCACATTTATAGACTTTTATAAAAAGGAGATTTATCTCTTTACAACTGTTAAGTTTTCCATGAATTTAGGTCTATGTGTTACTTTCTATTTGGCATTTTAAAAATAGTGGGACTAAACTGTGTTGCAGGGATATAATAGGAAGAACTTGCATTACTTCAAGAAAAGCTCTGTGCTTACATTTAAAGAATAATTCTGTTGCCTTAGCCTTACATTTTAACAACTTTTATAAGTGGTACAAGAGAGACTAAGCATGAATATTCTTTTTCAATTTCTTGCTTTTTTATTAAGCATTTTGTTAGTAGTTACACAAGTCTATGGTCATCTTCCCATATATACCCCGTTTATCAGCATAATTGCAATAATCTTGCTAATTTATTTGCTTAGTGCAGATAAGCTTGATGGACAACGCAAAAATTTATAAATGGAAGTGTTATTTGTTAAGCTTTTAGGACTTTACATTTAAATTAAGAAAGAAATAGTAAGTATATTCAATACCTGTGGGATTTCTTTTATCCTTCCAGAGACACGTTCTGTGACCAGCAGCCCAGTTCCTCCTCCATCAGTCCCCCAAACATCAAAAGCTTCTAAGCCCTTTGGTTATGGATATCCAGCACTGCAGCCTGGCTACCAAAATGCTGCACCACCTGCTCCTGTGCAGCCCAGTAATCCAGGTCACCATCCTGGGTTTCAGCACTATCCACAGGTTTGTATTTTTAATTTCAAAGTTACTGCAGTGAAGTTACTGCATGAAGTAACTGTGCTGGGCGTGTGATGGTGTAGGCTGCCTGCATCTGCTCTATTTTTCTGATAAAAGAGAGCACCAAACACCCAAGAAGGTGTGTACAATCACCTGGCTCCCGTTGTGCGAGTCACCCAAGAGCAGTGAAATCTGAAGAAGAGGCAGAGGCAAAATTTCTATTTCTACCCAAGAAGGTGTGTACAATCACCTGGCTCCTGTTGTGCATGGGAGTCACCTGAGAGCAGTGAAATCTGAAGAAGAGGCAGAAGAAAAATTTCTATTTCTGTTTCACTGAGGCAAAATAGAAATGCTGAAGCCATGCAGAGAAGTGTATGTGTGGAGGGGTGTAGAAAACAAAAGGTACAGCTTTACAAATCTCACTCTCTGAAATAAGGCCCAGCTGGCAAACACATCAAAGCTGCTGTTTTGGGTGATCAGAATTCCTTACTGATCTGAATGTAGTACTGTAAATTAGCCTCTGATATCCAGGGATGCCTTCACTGTTGTGAAGGTAATGCAAAGTGTGACCTGGAGGAAAGGTTTAACTATTTTTATTATTTTTTTTAAGTTGAAAGACTTGGCTTCATCTTCACTATAATGTAAGATAAAATTAGGCTTTCCTCAGGAGTACACAGTAAAAGAACAAAAAATAACACGTGAAAGTTGCAGCAAGTCAAATTCTAGTTTACATATAAGGAGAAAATTCTTCAGAATGGGAGTGGAGAAGCACAAGAACAGATTGTGCTGTGAAGTCTCCAATCCTTAGATTCTTTCAAATCTTAGCTGGACAAGGCTAGGAGCAACCTGATCTAACTTTGAAGTTAGCCTTGCTTGAGCAGGAGGTTGAACTATCAAAGATGCCTTCCAACCTAACCTTTTCTCCTTTTCTATGGTGTTTTGTTTTCATTTAAAAATAAATATGTAAAACCAGTTTGTGTAGCTTGGAAAAGTTACACTGTAACATCTTTGAAGAGGGGAAAAAAATTGTCAGCCTTTCTAGTAACTTGTTTTCTTATGCCTGGAAAACTTGAAGGATTATGTGTGACTTCCAATGTTGATTTATAAATCGTTATGAATTTGAATTTTGTCCAATGATACATATTTGGGAGCTATGTCACGTTTGTCTTAGCATTTCTAAATTCCTACTGTGCAACTCTGTTCTTGTTTGATTGGGTTTGTTACTAACTACTACTGTATCCTTTTTTTTTTTTTATACACATCTGAAAGAATTGGGATTACAAGAAAATTTAAGGTTGTTATTTAAATGATTGTGTGTTTGCTCTTACTTTTTTCAGCAATATCCAGGTGTGAACCAGCTGTCCTCTTCTTTAGGAGGGTTAAGTCTACAGCATTCTCAGCAGCCGGAGAGCTTGAGACCAGTAAACCTTACACAAGATAGAAATATTTTGCCTGTATCTTCAGTTCCAGCACCTGTGCCTAACTTGAATTCTGATCTTAGGAAATTAAACTGCAGTCCAGAGTAAGTGTACTGTGTCAAGAATAGCATGTTACATTTTTCAATGAGTAATAATTATTTAAACTGTAAAAAAAGTCTAAACTGATTCCTGATTTCAAATGTTTGTGGTGAGTTAATATAACCCCTTTCACTTGAAAATAAGTTTATCCTTTGCATCCTTACACAAATGTTGAAACTTTCGTTTCATCAGAATATGTTATATGCAGTGTGAGTGTAGCTCACTTATTAAAACATTAAGAAACCTGCTTAATCTTTGCCTTTTATCCATCTAAAAAACCTTACCTATTAATAAACATCTTAATGTTATGCAGTACATTTCATAGAATATTTTTGTAATATTGCGTAGGATTTTTTCCAGAAAAATATGATGATCATGCCTAAATACACTGAATAAACTGTGAGTATATTTTCCTGTGGTAATCCTGCAATCATGATGTATGCTCTCACTTCTAATTAACGTTCAGCAGTATTATCTGCTAGCCCAAATCAAGTCAAGCCAGCTGCAATGGAAATTGCTCTCCCCCAGTGATCTTAATAAAATTTCTTTTGGAATTAGAGTTAATTGTGCCCAAGTTAACTCGGCTTACTGCCCTAGTGACAATGCATGCTCCCACCAGAAAACAGAAATGGGGAAATTGGGGGTCTCTTAATCATTCTTAGGTGTTGAACAGTTTGGACAGCACTATTGGTGCATTGCGGGTTTTTAGTGTCCTTTATTTAGCTTTGAGTCCATCCTCCAGAAAAGTTTGTGACTCTCAGTGTTCGAGATCCTTTTCTTCTGTTTTCTAATATAAATAATACTTTCTGAAAACTAGAAAATGCTGTATTCCTCCTTTAGTTCCATCATTCAGAAAATCTTTGTAATGAATAAAAATTACATCATTTTACATTGAGTGTTGTATCTAAAGCAGTTTTATCTCTTTATTGCAAGTTGCTGAACTGTTTCATTGGGGAGTGGGGAAGTATTTTTTCATCTGTTTGGTTTTTTTTTAGGAGGCTTTTTAAGTCTCTTTGCATTAATTTTGTTTATTAAATCAGCTTTGCAAAACAGGATTTAAATTTCAAAATTCTTTAAAATCGGCTGTTAACACAATGTTTTTAACATCTTTTAAAATTTCATTTTCAATATAATGTTTTTATTTCCTTCCAGCTCATTTCGATGTACGTTGACAAATATTCCCCAGACACAGGCTTTGTTAAACAAAGCTAAGCTTCCTTTGGGTTTGTTGCTGCATCCCTTCAGAGACCTAACGGTAAAGTAGATTATTTTTTAGAAAAATACATGTATTTAGTATACGCATTTGTCCTATTTTTGTTCAAACAATAAAATATATTGAACTCGATGTCTTAAATTTAATAGAAGTAGCAAAAAATTGTTTGGGAGTTTGATAGGAGGAGGGGAAAAAAGCCTTGAAATTGCAGCTTCGTTGAAATTGAAAAGAGAAAATCTTCGGACAAGTCCTTCAAATTATTTTTTTAATTGTTGCTTGCCTGTGGTTCTCTGAAGCTCTGAGTTGTTACTCTGTGTGTTGGGCTCAGAGCTGTCAGGTACCTCTGATAAGGTGTTTCTCCTCTTGAGGAGAGGTATGGATGTGTCAGTGGCATGATAAATGCTACCATTAGAAGGTATGTGCAATGTAGGACTGAAGCTGTGCTCATAACTGTTAAGCAACTCCTCTCCATCTAATTTATTTGTGTTTATGTAAAAAGGTGGATAACGATCTGGTATAACTTCATCTAATGTGTGTTCTTTGGGTAAGGTTTGCTGTTTGTCATATTTAGTCACCCAGAGTTGTCCTGTCTTTCATAATTCCTCTTGCCATAGTGGCTGTGTTATTATAACAGTGTAATTTAATGTCATTAAAAATCTTTGATTTGTGAGATTGGATTAAGACAATGATCCGTGGTTATTTCTGCTGATTTTAGAAAGGAGGATATTTTTAATAGGCATCATAATTACTCTGTATGAAAATGAGCTAAAAAGATAAAAGGAAAGATGATAGAATATCTTGTCTTGTGAAGCTTTTATGCTCTGTACTGCACAGTAATGTTTTCCATAAAATGTATTATGTACCTTTGTTACAGCTTTCCATTGTTTCCTTTTAGCAATTACCAGTAATAACATCAAGCACAATAGTGAGATGCAGATCCTGCAGGACATACATCAACCCTTTTGTTTCTTTCATTGATCAAAGGAGGTGGAAATGTAATCTCTGCTATAGAGTTAACGATGGTAAGGGTTTGTAGCAAGAGATGCTTGTGTTTATAGAATCTGTCAGGTATTTGCATTGTATCAGTCCATGGCATACTCTAGATTAAAATGTAGATTAAAATGACAATGTTCTTAAGATTTTTTTAAAAATCTCTGGATCACAAGTCAGATGTGCGGTGCATTTTCTGAAGCAAAAGTGTGGTTTGAAATTTTGAGACAAATTAAATGTTACCGTATTATCCTGATTACTTGCATAATGAGGTCAATTTCTTCCATTGACTGCTGTTGCAATACACAGACAGCAACATGGTGACAGCTCATACTGTCTGCCATCCATGCCAGAGGTTATGAGAAACAATACAGGTCAAAGCTTAGTGTTGTGAAATGCTCTATTTGCATTGGTGTTTTGAAGTTGGCAATGAATTGCTGCTTAAAATAAACCTGCTCTTGTCTCCTCTTACTTAAGTTTGATGCTTGGGACACTTGAAATGTTCCTTCAATCGTTGATGCTTGGGACACTTGAAATGTTCCTTCATTTTATATTTCGATAATGTGATTTCTTTTTTTTGCTGTTGTT